ATCTTATGATATTGTCATGAATGAACCAAGGGGTAAGTGTGAAAACACATATGGGAGGCAGACTCTCAGATTAACCATTACACCTTATCCTTATAGCCCCTCCAGCAGATTATGCGTATATCTTTTATAATTAATTAACATTCATTCATTCATTCTTTTATTTATTTATGACAAGAACACTGATAATATAAATGTGATAAATATTTACTTAACACGTTTATATATTTATATAAGTAAAAAATAAAAACTTAGCATATTAAAATAAACCTTAGCAAAAGGCTTCATATTTCTTACTCTGATAAACTTTTTATTGTTCTAACAGGTTTTCTGCACATTTTTCTTGTTGAATGAAACATGCAGACATGCATACCTCGTCCTGAAGTAATCACCAGGGGTCAGTCTTTCTCTACCAAAAAAAAATAAAAAATCCCAGTTTCTCTCTCAAGTTCTTTAAAAATCTTTTCCATTTGTTAACTCTTTAAACAATTCACCGCATACACAATTCAAATATTCCTGTGGCTCAGTGGTAGAGCATTGCGTTAGCAGCGCAAAAGGTCATTGGGTTCGATTCTCAGGGAGCACACATACTGGTAAAAAATGTATAGCCTGAATGCACTGTTAGTCGCTTTGGATAAAAGCGTCTGCTAAATGCATATATTATTATTATTAATTATTATAAAACTCATATACAAGATACAATACTATTTTTCACATTTACTTTGGACAATATTTTTGAACAGCTGAAGACACCTGAAGTAACAAACAACAATGTCAGAGGCCAGTAAGTTTATTAAGTAGTATTAAATGAACCATTAGTCTTCCTGAGTGGAGCGAGATGTTTTGTGTGCAGTTTAAGGTGATTAAGTTTAATTTCTGTTCCAGTTTGGAACTTTGTGTCTCCAGCTTCATTTTCAAGACATCTTCACAGATTTTGTTCATACAAGGGTCAGGCTTTCACAAGCTGTGAGTTTTATGGATACTGGAAACCTGGTTCTACAATCTGTTCTCACTGGGTGTCCTGCATGTGATATAAGAGAGCTATTGTGGGTCAAGCCCACACAGCAAAAGGCCAAATCAGAGGGCAACATATGTAGAGCAGGTCATGTTTGTTGTCAAAGTCATCCACCCAGATCCCAAAACAGCTGTGTCTGTCTAGAAGGACAGAAGAAGGACTTATTCTTTTCAGTTTCAGAAATCTAAACAGTTTGTCTCTTTTATGTCACTGCCTTTTTTGAACAAACACTGAAGTTGGCTGGGTTTTGTTACTGTAAGCCTTTCCATCAATGAACTCGCTCTGTCACTCTGTCTAAAAGAGAACAGCTGCATGCATGCAATACAAAGATTCAATTTGAAGCTTATGACTAGCATGAAATGACTGCCCTAAATTCCATTTATGTTTGAATGTAGCTATGACTTCATTGTGCATTTTCCAAGCAAGGTTCAGGTTGCCAAACATTGATATTTTTGCTCTGTTGCATTCGCATTACAGCTCAATATACACTGTAAAAAGTAAACAGTGGGTATGGGTGTTACATTAAAGAGTTATTTATCCTTGATCCAACCCTTAAAGGAACAGTTCACCCAAAAATTAATCGGGACAAATTTGGAGAAATTTAGCATTACAGCACTTGTTCACCAATGGTTCCTCTGCAGTGAATGGGTGCCGTCAGAATGAGAGTCCAAACAGCTGTTAAAAACATCACAATAATCCACAAGTAATCCACACCACTCCAGTCCATCAGTTAATGTCTTGAAAAGCAAAAAGCTGTTCGTAACAATCAAATCCATTATTAGGGTGTTTTAAATTTAAACCGTTGCTTCTGGCCAACATATGAGTCCATAATCCATATTTCTTCTTCCAGTGAAAAAGTCCATCCTCTGTTGTTCTCTCACATCAAATACACTGACATATTTGTTAACAACTGTTTTGGACTGATTTTACTTGTAAACAGTGCTTGATCTGGGCATATTTCTCACCAGATTCAGACAAGAACACTTTTTTTTTTTTTTTTTACTGGAGAAAATATTATGGATAGAGGACTCATATTTTAGCCAGAAGCAACGGTAAAGGTGTCAAAGTAAAATTGAAATAAAAACACAAATATAATGTAGTATAATAATTTTAAATAGCCTAATGTGTAAACATACATAAAGCATGGTTTAGCCCAAAGAACCCTTTTGTGCCAAAAAGGGTTCTTTCTCCTTATATAGAACCTTTTTGGCATAAAGGGTTCTTTGGAGTTGAGTAAAGAACCCTAAGGTTCTATATAGAACCCCAAAGAACCCTTTTTTTTTTTTTTTTTTACTGGAGAAATAAATATTATGGATAGACGAACCAACAGTTAGAAGTGAAAAACGTCTTAACGATGGATTTGTTTCTTGCAAACACTCAGCTTTTTGCTTCACAAGACGTTAACTGATGGACTGGAGTGGTGTGGATCACTTGTGGATTATTGTGATGTTTTTATCAGCTGTTTAGACTCTCATTCTGACGGCACCCATTCACTGCAGAGCATCCATTGCTGAGCAAGTGATGTAATGCTACATTTCTCCAAATCTGTTCAGATGAAGAAACATCTACATCTTGGATGGCCTGAGGATCAGCAAATTTTAGTTTTGGGGTGAACTATTCCTTTAAAAATGGTGTAACCTAATGAAGTCCGGATCAATCAATAGAAGCAGTAAATGTAAATGTGACCATATGAAGCACATTTTTGATATACAGAAAGTGAAAAACCATTATATTGAGCCATTAATGGTGACACATGTGTTTCCTGTTAGAAAGGTCCTTCACAGACAAAGATATCCTACAATAACCATGTGTAGGTGTACTGGAGACAGTTCGTATTCAATAAAATGTACAAGATTTATGCATTTCAAAGCAGATCATCACAGATATTGCCAGATATAACAACAATTACCAAATCTGATAATCTGATTTAAATTTAGTAGGTCAAAATAGTGGACAAGAAAAAAGTCTGATAACTCTGGATTGATACTAAATGGAAACAGACATCAAATTATTTATAAAGGTCTCAGGCATCCTGTGTAACCCTGAATTTAATACTGATGTAGACTTATTAGACTTGACATTTGTTTCCGTGCAGTGGTGTAATGAGAGGAGATGAGAGTATCTTCAATATTTTTCAGCACATAGACCTTTGGTTGCTACATGCATACTGTAATAATAACTTAAAAAGTGTGTTTGCCAGCAGGTTCTAGTAGCACTAAACCCCACTGCCCTATGCGACACAAAACATGCTGCCAGTGTCTCGCTCTGGGAGCAAAATGCTGTTGGAATGCTTTGTTCAGGCTGCCAGCTGAGAAAGGGTACTGTGCACATATGTTTCCTACTCCAGCTCTGTTGGGCAGCTTTGAGACATCCCGTCCTAGGACTGCTGCTGGGTACAGAAACTGTTTACCATCCTCAAATGTTTCCAGAGTGTATGCGGTGATATAACAAGCACAGTAAAGCAAAATGGCACGTTTAAACAACAGGCATCTTTCCATGTAAAGTCATTACGGAAGCTCCAGCGGTCTCATTTTGATTCCCGTGGTTGGTTGGGATCCAAAAAATGGTAGGTCTGTTCTGATAGGCTCATGTATGGGGGAAAAACAATGCCTAATGTAAATAATAAAATGCAATGAACCATATAATTGTGAGTTTAGGATAGCAAATTAAATAGGTTTTACAACTTTTAAAGACCCAATGAAATTAAAATAAGAGTTTTATTGCTTTTAGTTCATGTGTGTTAGCTTTAAGGTCATCTACTGTATATGTTAGCATACATCTAAACAACAACTTCTGACAAAATTCACCTTTAGCAAATATACGCAATCAGAAAACAGAACAAAATACTGATGACTCATACTGCACTACACAGATTTTTGTCCAATCAGATGCTCTCTAACAATTAAGTTGTCCCTCCCACTAAAACCACCTACATTTGGCAACAATGATGAAAATGGATAGTTTATTTATTTATTTACTTATTTATTCAGTTTTATTTATTAATTTATTTACGTTTTCAAGTAATATTACTATCAATTTTTTTGTTGTTACTTTTGTATGAAAAACAATTTTGGTACTGTGTTGGATCTCTATTTGATGTCGGACTCCTGAAGTAAAACAAACTGCCCTATTTAGTAACTGCTGTTACTTTTATGTCTGTGCTTTTAAAGTCATTTTTGTTTTTAAAGACCTCCTGTGGTGAAAATCAGGTTTTTAAATGTTGTTTACATGTCTATCTGGTGTTTTTAAAATATGTTTAAAGACAACCCATTCATCACAAAACAACATTAGCCTACTGAGCATGTAACCAATCCCGTCAATTTAAAGATTACCAAAACAAACAATTTTTTCCCCCAGTGGATTAACTTGCACGGATTAATTGTTCACCTCAAGATGAGCAATGTGCGCTAACAAAGTAAATGTAATTTTTGATTTCATGCGGACTTTAACTTACCACTTTATCTTCTGTCTCAGTTGCACCGATCCAGGGCTGAAATTTCTAATTTGAACCTGGTTGGCAGCAGCGGAGCCAGGATGTTTTCATTGGGGTGGCCAGCAGCCAGTATGGGGTGGCAGAGAAATCTTCATATTTCTTCAATATAATTTTAATAGGATGCCCATTTTCCACAAGTTGATATGATTCTTTAGGGTCTGGGGGACCATTCCCTTCAAAAACAAACAGTAATCTACTGCAAGTTCAGCGGCACAGATGTCAGGAGTAAATGACAACTGCTATGTTCATTATCACATCCAACAACAGAACACCTCAATCGCTTAGGAGTCATTCTTGTCTACATCTGCTCCATGACCCCTTTAAGGCATGAATAAATTATTTTCACAGGAAAAACATTTAAATATGTCATTTTATCAAAGATGAGTTTTAAGGGATAAAATTAGTGACTGCAGAGAGACTTCAAGCAAGCAACAGGGAATGTGGAGAAATTATTTAGTCATGAATAATGAGAACAAGCAGACTTTTAAATTATCATCTGAGTGAGACATTTAATTGCCACACATTAATCACCACATTATGACAATCCACCACATTGTGAATTCAGCTCAGTGAACTGACAAATTGGCTTGTAACAGACAGAGCAAACTACATTCAAGGGCACTGGCTAGTTATATGTAAACTATAACTCTGTGGCTACAAAATGGTCATTCTATTTTAAAATATGCAGACAGTGATCTTTGGTTCTTCACAAAACATCTTTGGTGTAACATAACAAATAATCTGCACAAGTTTACATTATAGACCATGGGAAACGAAGACATAAATTTGGTCTGTGTTTTTTTTTTTATGTGCCCAAATAGCATTTGTTCCAGCTTAAACCATGCAAACATGCTACAGGTATATCAAATGCAACAACCAAATCATTACAAAAACAATAAAAAGAAATACAAAATGTTAACAAAAAATGTGTTGAACCAACATTTGATTCAAATAATTCAGACTGAAATTCCAAAACGGAAGTCGAATGAATATCCAAAACATATGAAGTGCCATAACTTTGCTGTCATCAATTTGTGATATTTAGAAATCCCCGCTCTTCATCCAAGGGCCTTTGGCACATGAAAAAAGTCACAATCTTGCAATGCTGAACTGTTTTCCATTTTCAGCATTATGTATTTTGTTGCCTGGATTTTCTTAGCCATTAATTATCTCTCCACTGTGTGTTTCCATCCTTTTGAAGTGGTGGAGGTTCAAATGAACTACAGTTTTACTTTGTAGAGCTATGTTTACTGGACACGAGACATTGATCTGCTGCTCTGGCTTCTCAGGACCTTCTGGAAGAGATCATCTGTAATGTAGCAAGAAATATATTACGATTCATTTATTTATTTATTACATTTTGTTTTCATTATTTCAATACAATCACATGCAAATTATGAAATATATCTGAGACTCTTTATTAATTGCATTTATGTGGGAAAAAAAAGTTTGTGAGCAATGCATACAAACCATTTTTCAGTACTTGAGACCCAGCCTGGGATGAAAAATTGAGAAGAAGATATATTTCATTTATTTTGGCATTTCAAGCACACAAAAAAATATGTATAAAAATTTAGCAAGCAATTAAATATAAGCACTGACCTACTGTTAAATAATCATTTCTGATGTACTAACCCTCACAGCAGAGGTGCGTCTGATTGTTGAGCCTTCAGCCTGATCACTCACAATTTTAGGAGCTAAAACAAAGTGGCACGTCACACTGTTATGAAGCTCTGAAATAAGATATTGCTTTTATCATAACGTTTAAGAATGTCTGGTTCATGGCTTACGCAGTGGTTTTACGATTACATCAACAGCATGTACGACTCCATTGGTAGCCATCAGATCAGCCTCGACAACAGGCACCCTGTTCACGTATACAGTGGAGTTAAGCTGAAAGGGATAAAAATCAGAATGAAATGTAAGAATTATCAGATGAAATCAGATTCAAGAAAGATTTTACCCGTAAATGTATATTCTGACATAATTTATTCACATGTCATTTAAAATGTTATTTTTTCTGTGGAACACAAAAGATGAATTTTGAAGAGTCTTTAAATAGACCTTTTCCACAGAACGACAGTTAAGGGTGACAAATCTTCTATGTGAAGTTTCTATATAAATGATTTTTTGCGTGCGTGTTCTGCAGAATGACAGCACATATATTTGTAATTACACGAGAGTGAGTAGTAGTAGTAGTAGTATCCTTTTAAGCGTAAAGATGACAGAGTAAATAAGAGTAATGATAGAAATTACATTTTTGCGTGAACTGATTATATAAATATATACAACCATTCAAATGTTTGGGGTCAGTATGATTGAAAAAAGAAGAAGAAATTAATGCTATTAATAGTGACAGTAAAGACATTCATAACATTTATGTTACAATCTGTTTTCATTTGAAATAAATACTGATCTTTTGAACTTTCCATTGATTAAAGAATCCTGAAAAAACAAATATTAAGCAGCACAACTGTTTTCAACATTGAAAATGAAAAATAAATGATTCTTGAGCAGCAAATCAGCGTATTAGAATGATTTCTGAAGGATTATGTGACACTGAAGACTGGAGTAATGATGCTGAACATTCTGGAATAAATTAAAGGATTAATTTTAAAACTAGTTATTTTATAATGTAATAATATTTCACAATATTACTGATTTTACTCTATTTAAAGATCAAATAAATGCAGACTTGGTGAACATAAGAGACTTCTTTCAAAAGCGTACCAACCCCAGACTTTTGAACGTCAGTGTATTAATATGTTGGCCTAGATTCCACTTCTATTACAGATACAGAATCCAAAAAGCATTTCTTGACTCAATAAGTGAGTACATACAGCGCCTAACTCCAGTTTCTCTCCTGTCAGGGGCTTCATTCTGGTATGTGGGGTCACAGCGCCGCTGACCAGGAACTCTTCACCAATGTGGTATCTCAGAAGGTTTGCCAGCTCCTTGGGGTCTCCTATGTACAAAATAGAAAGGAAACAACAGATGCAGGTATATTCTGCACATCTAAATGCACTTAGACTGATTACAGAATTCTCATAGCAACAAATCGGACCAGTTAGTGTGTAATCATGCACTGAACATCTGCTTTTCTAACACATATGGTGACACAGGGGACATTACTCATGAGTTTGTTGAGGTCGGCGGGGGGCATTGCACTGAAGGCAGCATTGGTGGGGGCGAAGAAGGTGTAGGCCCCTTTTTCGTTCAGGAGCTCGGTCAGGCCTGCTCTCTGAATGGCGCCAACCAAAGTGCTGTACGGATTAAAGTTCATCAATGCACATTATTAGGAGCATATCTTTAGGCGAGAGAAGACAGTTAGACTGACAGCTCAAATTCCACCCGGGTCATCAGAAATCTGAAGAAATTACAGCCTCAAGTTTAAACATGCAAGTATGATCATTACAAAAAACGTTTTGAGAGACTGACAATGAGGTCTCTGAATGTGAGTGAGAAACGGCAGCTGCAAATTCCCTTTCAATAAAACTGTGAAAACAATTGCGCCCTTTATGGTGGAAAACATTTTCTTCTAGGTTTTTATAGGGCGTTCTGGTTAAATCACCACCAATGTGAGGTTAAATCTTTTGTACTCTCAAATACCTCTAGAATGGCTTAAATAGTCATAAGCACCTTATTTAAAGTAAATTAAAAATCCTGTCATCATTTGCTCAACCTCATGTCATTCCAAACCAGGGTTTTTATTAACTAATCTAAAACCATAAAAACATTTTCTTTACTTGAGATAAAATAAGCATTAACTGAAATAATATATAATACTAGTATATAATAAACTGAAATTAAACACATTTTAATTTAGTTTAACTTGTACTAAAAACTACTACAATATAAAAATGTATAAAAAATATACAGACATTTAAAAAATACAAAAATGGCAAAAATACACAACAAAATTAGTAAAAAATATAACTAAAATTAAATAAAAAACTGAAAAAAAAAATATAAAAAAACTTATTCAAAATATTATTACAAACTATAATAGAATCTCAGTGATATTAGAATAACACTGTTCCAAATATAACTAAAATTAAATAAAAAACAGAAAAAAAAATATAAAAAAACTTATTCAAAATATTATTACAAACTATAATAGAATCTCAGTGATATTAGAATAACACTGTTCCAAACCGATATGACTTTATGTCTTGTGTAGAATACAAAAGATGAATTTACTTTTTTTTTTCTCGTTTCCATATAATGAAAAGCAAATGGCATTTGGGCTGTCAAGCTCTAAAAGTAGACTATACCACTCAATAGCTTTGGTGTGCATCTGTCTTCTGACCAAATGCCATTCACAACAGTAGTGTCCTATTGAATATACAATAGAAACTCAAACTGGTCTGGAATGACATTAGGGCGAAAAAATGATGCCAGAATTGATTTAACTATCCCTTTAAGACATCACTGTGAGGATTATCGTCACTGTGCTTACCTGAAACGATCATCTGCCTTCAGGACGTCCATGACAGTTCCCATGGGGGGTGTCAAGAGCTTGTCAACGATGAACATATTTGCAAAGCGGCCATTTTTGTCGTGTGCAGCAATGCAGGCGTTCTCAATGCACAGGCTCTGCAAAGTGAAACGGTTAAGGTTATTGGTTATACAGATCAGCACATTTGTTTCAAAGCTCTCTTTTCTCACAAGACAGATGATGCATGAAGTGGACTGTGGAAAACGTTAAGGTGATCCAAAGGAGAGGTTTCTGGTGGTCTGTGAATTCACAAACAGTCTGCAAACTGAACTATACCAGCCTCGCTGCCAGCTACAACATGGCTAGAAATAAAAAAAAACGTGGCTCTTATGATGGATTGAGATGGGAAATGGGGAGTTTCATAATGCAAGAAGGATTTATTTCCTTCACCATTGTCATGAAAATGAAAAGTATTGATCTGTTGCTATAGGATTTTGTTCAGTATAGATAGATATCAATGCTTCATTTAAAAATAGTTGCTGGGACTTGGGTTTGTGTTGAATTATTCCCATATGTATAATTCAAGACTTACATTTCTGAACACAAAGACTCTAAGTTTTAATCCACCAAGGGTCTCCAGCTCTTGCCCATGATAAAGGCACTTGGAGGAAAACTTCTCCTTGAGAATGTGGTTTCTCAGCAGTTTCTTCATGTCGGGTGTCATGGCCAAACTCTTGTCTGCACGCAAATTACACAATTACAGTTATTTCAGAGTTTCTTAAGGCTCAATTGCTGCAGTAGCTTAATGAAAATGGAGTGATCCAACCTTTAAAAGCATCGTTCAGTGGAGCTAATAAAGTCCGAGACCAAAATATGATGACCAGGTGACAACAAAAATGAAAACTGTTGTTGCAGCATTACATGAACTCAAACCCAACATGAAATCAAATTTTTCCTGCATGTTTCTGCTCTTATTATGCACGATTCACAAGTGCACGTTATTCCAAACAAAACGTTTGTCTTCATAATTAAGCAAAATCGAATAGCTTGCTTGGATTCTGAAACGTTTTTTCCTGCTTGGCTGACATTATGAACAAGCCCCTCTTAATTTTCAACGGCTTCCTCCAACCACCTGGCTCCATTCTGCTATGTACAAACACCTACTTTTCACAATCCAATCAATTCCCAATGGACAAAATTAAGTCCCACACACAATTTTTTCTCATCGAATATCCAGTTTAACTCAGAAATGCATTGCATTGTGGAAGTAAAATGAAAAAATGCTTCATGCTAAAGAAGAGCAAAAGTACCTTTGAGAGAAACCGGGTCTCCCAAAATTCTGGTCAGTGTTTCTGGAGGGATCTTCTCAAAGGCTTCATTGGTTGGAGCAAAGATAGTGTAGGAACCCTCGTTCTCCAGAAGACTGGTGAGACCAGCGGCAGCAACTGCAGTCTAAATGAAAAGGAAAGGATGGCATTCAATGGACTTTGCACTGTTCATACTGCATACATACTACTGAACCAGCAAATTCCCTCAATAACGATATAAGATCTACCCGTAGAGTGTCCAGGTCATCATCGGTGTCAATCAAAGAGTTGACATTATTGGTAATGGCGGTGATGACTCTGTCAACAACATGCACAATTCCATTGGTGGCATGCTGGTCTGTCTTCACAAGCCTTGCACAGTTCACGGTCACAATCTGCGACAAAACATATGATTGGTAATGTACACAAAACCTCACAGGAAACCATTTGGTATAAAAACCAGTTGACACAATTCTTAACAGCTGTTAACTAACCATAGAGAAAGTAAACAACATATTTCCAGTGAGAAAATCTAAACAAGACTTTATTTGTAAAGACTAGACTTACTCCATTAGAATAATGGTGGATGTGAACATCAAAGTCCTGATACATGGAGGGGAATGAAGTGCCATGCTTAAGATCGTCAGAAGTCAAGCGTTTGTTGATCATGTGGTAGTGCAGAGCGTTGAGGAGCTCAATGTTGACGTTGCTCACCAGGGCATCCAGAATTTCCTACGGCACATTTTGAAATGACATTGAGCTTATCTTGATATTTTTGCTGTTTTTCCAGTTATAATGGTTTTTGGGAACTCTGCCTTGCCTAAAATGACAGGAAACTCTTTATTTCTTCTACATGATCTATGGAGATGCACTAGTGGGAACTCACAGTGGGAAGTGCAGCCCAAGCCTCACTGCTTGGAGCAAAGAATGTGAAGCTGCCTGGACCTTCGATCTCCTCCTGCAAATTCGCTCTTTCAGAGTACATCTTGGTAGTAGTGGCTCCAACCACACCCAAGGTTTTATAGATGTTCACCAGAGGTAGAGCTTTGAAAAATAAATCAATTTTTTATTGTTATATCATCATAACAAACCTCTTTTCATGCACACAATTTATAATTACGTACCTGCTGGACAGCCTTTTTCTCCAATCACCTTCTCATAGCCAGGACAGCACTCATAGCTGACCACCCTACAAAGAAATGATAAAAAACATCACTTCATTGGATTTTGTAGAAGATTCTGTACAGACGGGAGTTCTTCAGGAACTTCTGCAGGAAATCAGATCTATATTTCTCTCTTTATTATTGCGAGGGCTGAAGGGCTGTGACAACCAACACACTCCTCGATGCATTTTAAAGTGCATGGCTTAAGCTATACTGTACTTCTTTTTTATTTCATGCCAGATATTTCCATAATAAATAAGGTCTGTGCTCGAGTTGGTCTTAGAGGGTCATGGTAGCAGAAGAATCAAGAGGTACGTTATGAGCCAGGGAAACTCCTGAGAGGGAACTCTAACACCAGCAGTCCTGCCAATAAAAACAATGGGAAATTCCTTGGAACCACTATGCAAAGGTGCAATAATTGGGATACTGAAGACTGACATGAATTAAATACACTTTAAAATACATTCACATAGAAAACTGTTATTTTAAATTGTAATAATATTTGATAATTTTACTGTTTATACTGTCTATTTTTAATCTTTTGAACGGTGGTGAAAATATGCATTAAATATAGTATCACAAAGTATCATCTCTAACCAGAATACACTGGGATATTCAAAAACGTCTTCACACTAAACAACCCCCAAAACTTGGTGGTGTACCTTACGTAAGCAACATTAATCTGTTACATAATATCTCCAAATCTAGACGCAAATAAACATTCCAGACTCCATTCCATAATAAGCATCCACCATGGGTTGTACTGTGCCAAACACATCAGCTTCTTTAACACCCTCCCATTAAATCAGTGATTTTATTTATCTTTTAAAGTTGGATTTCTGTATTGCAGACACTGAATATGCTGTTCCCCCTGAACTCGAATATATCTGTCTGTGGAATGTTCATGTAACCAATAACACCTTTTCCCCCTGTGGGAACATCAAGTGGACGTCAATCAAACAGTACTGCTACAAGTTGTAATTATGATCCAGGTCTTAGTGCACTGAAGAGCTTTCAGACAGAAAGGCACTCAGATTTGTCAGCCTTGCATTCATGCACTGTTCAGGATGTTAGGCAATTTAACCCCACGAAGACTGAAGCCAATTACCAAGAGACATATGGTAACCATTACTGCACAACGTTCTTCTATATCTACTGTCAACTTGAACTCAAATACCCTGTTCACTGTTCCATTATATAGCTGCTAGATACAAAAGAAAAGTGTGTCCATTATGTAAAATTATAACCTTACGAGCTACAAAGCTGATGGATAGTACTGACTGAAAGATGTCAAAGTGTTCTTCAACAGACAACATACAAAAGCTTATCGAAACAATATAGTTAAAGTCATTAACACTTTAACAAGACCTTTCCTCCTCAGTTCTTCAAAGGGTTATTCTTTTAGAAAATGCTTCACCAAAGTTGTCTAACCCTATGAATATATATGTGAAGAATCCCCCGCACAGGGTAATAATCATCATTTATGCCAACCTGTCCTGCTCTTCAAACCTTATGCATTTTAAATTCTTTAGAGTTAGAAAGGTGATTATAATCTTTTATATTTCAATATAAGTTTATTCACATGTCCTGGGGGAGTTTTTCCTCTGCAACTTGAAAAGACAATGGTATTTTATCTAACAAGAAATATTCATTAAATCCGATACACTGGTTCAGACAGTACAGTAGCTAAAACCAGTAACTGGTTTTAGCACAGTACAGTACTGGAATATATTTGCAAGACAGACAGATAGAGAGACAGACAGACAGACAGACACACTGTAAAAAATGATTGTGATTTTAACAGTAAAAGACTGTAAAAATGCTACAGTAAAAACCTGTTAACTGGTTAACAGTAAGTTTCCATACTACCGTATTGGCCCGAATATAAGACGACCCTGATTATAAGACGACCCCCCTTTTTTAAGGTGAAATTCTGGCAACCACAGCTGCCGGTATTTTACGGTAAATGTCACCGATTTTTTTTTACAGTGCAGATAGATAGATAGATAGATAGATAGATAGATTTCTGTATTAAGATATCTGTGGTAACTCACGTTGGTTTGCCACATATTTTGCGGTGATACCATTGCTTGCAGTTGGTGAAGTACTTCTTATCCGTTCCTTGAATATTCTGCATAGCACAAACATTGGGGCTGCAACACACACACACACACCCACACACAAATCAGCCTTCTTTAAATGCTCCAAACATTCACCAAATGCCCAATGCATGCTGCAGGACTAAAGAAGAAAAAGTCTAACTTTTCAGTGACGTTGGGAAAATGATCAGTAGGGCTGCATATAAACCAGAGGGCCTTTATTTGTGTTCATGGTTTTAAATCACATTTAGTGCACACAATAGCTATCTGTCTAATAATAATCAATATGATCACTGCAGAACAGCTCTTACCCATGAGGTCTTCCTCTTATCCTGCTGTGCTGAAGAACCGCTTGATACGGGGTTTTCGCGGCGAAAACTGTCGCGATTAAGGTGATAGCCAGAGCAAACCAAGTTAAGCGCTTCATCTCGCGTCCCTGCAAGCGCACTCCAGAGCGGCGCCGCGTGCGGCAGAGCCCGGCTTAAATACCGAGACCCCGGTGCTCAGGGAGGGGCTTGAGACGACCAGAAACACGACACTTTCACTCACAGACTCGCAATGAACATTTTCTACCACGATAAGGCTCTGATGCATGTTTTTGGACTCAATAGAACAGCTCACTGTACAAGTTTTTATTTGTAATTCTGTAAACATACTATAGTGTAACTTTAAAGATGCATAAAGTAGGCTAATTAAATGTAAAATGAAAAAGTAAAATTAATACGTGCAATATTCAGTAGCCTACACTTGTGTGTTTAAGTACAGTCATCAAAAACAGTACATCATTAAAAATAGTCGTTATGAAATTTTTACGAAAATGTCATAAAACATTGAAAAAATGTGAAAATCGCCTAAACATTTAAATGTTTTTGTTGTTGTTGTTTGTTTGTTTTAACATATTTTTATTTGAATGATTTTAATGAATTTGTCTTGACATATAAATACCAAAATGCAATCAATAAAAGAAAATCTAACCTGTTCTTTTCATATGATTTCATGCCAGATGTTAATTGTAATTTTGTGTAACTCTCAATAGCTTAGTGCACTGTTAATTTATAGTCACGATTTACAGATTTTTCTTTAAGTAAAAATAAATGTAATAACCATGAGGTAAAATTCTCTAATCAACATTCAGTGAATATGAGAATATGATATCAAACAAGTTGTCCTGTCCTGTATTTACCCAGCAGTGCATTTAAAAATGACCCAAACTGGGTTGTTTTTAACCCAGCATTTATGATACCTTAATAATCCACCATATTTTTTATTGTACTAATAGAATTCTTAAACAGCATGGGGTATTGTAGCAATTTTTAGTTAAAATTTGTTGGTTTGCTTACTTGCTGTGCTTAATTAACCTAAATTCCGACCTCTAAAGACTGAAGAATGAATTACATGTAAGAAACACACCTATTCTGGAACTATAATGTTACCTGATAAACCTCACCAAAATATCTCCCACCTCACTTGAACAGTTTGGAACATCAAACTACTTTGAATAAAAATTAGACAGCACTCTTTCTTTCAGCATTAAAGGGGTCATATGATGCGATTTCAAGTTTTCCTTTCTCTTTGGAGTGTTACAAGCTCTTGGTGCATAAAAAACAGTTATGTCTGGTTTAGGTGTGCTTAGGCTTTTCAAAGAATTGGCACTTACTTTCAACACAGGACAGAATATCTTTTAAATATTTTATTTAATTTTATTATACTAACATTTAAATCCCAGAAAAGACTGTTTGTCTTTTCTTCTATTTCCCCCACAAAAGCAGCTCAAATGGCATTTTACATCAAATTCTTCACAGCATGCCTTACTGCAACACTTTTCTTTTAAAATGTGTTTCCTTTAAGAATTTAATTGTACAATAAACAGGTCAAGCTTTCAAACCAGTTGAAGAAAAGGGACAATAAACACTTGATATTTCTCTCGGACATTTAAAAACAACATTTAGCATTTTTTAAAACAGCTTCTTTAATCTAGTGTGGGAGTTATGTGGCTAGTTATACAGTATAATCAAATCCACTACTGTAAACTAATAATTGAGAAACTCATAATTAAACAATGTTGATAGAGCAGATTTTGCCAAAAGTCCAAGAGGTGATCTAAAACAACCAATGTGTCAAAGGCAGGAGATGGTATGTTTGGACAGGCTATTCTTTCTTCTTCTTCTTCTTCTTTTTTTACAGTAGGACTAGCACGTGGTCTATTTTGGGGTTACCCTATAAATCGAGCAGCAGTGGTTAATGACCTCTCCTCATCTCCTCTAGACTGGCCGATGCTCCATTAACTGTGTGGTATTTAGAGAGGTGATTCCTCCTGAGTGGCTTGAGGAGGGATTTTCCCTTTACTTTTATATTTAGACTTTGTTTTTGAAGTTTATTGAATAACAGGAGCATCTACTGAGTTCTACCTAAACCATAATAAGGTTATTTTCCGTTCTTGATTTTCTTTCCTTTTATAAAAACAGCAGGTATCCAGGATGCTGCATGTTACAGTAGACCTTTATGATGCAAATGCATGCCACGCCAAATAACATATAAATATCAACTATCATACTACAGCCTGGCAAACATGTCTGGACAAGTAAGCCATCAGTCTCTAAACCATGGGTTTAAATGAATCTTTTGCACTGTTCTAACTATTGCAGCAATTGAATCACATATTTTGATTAGATGTTTAACAGTTAAGCCCAAAGTATACTTCGCTTTAAAGAATTGGAGAAGACGAAACAAGAACAACCAGAAACTACTGAAGACGCAAAACAATAGATGCCCGTGTTAATGAGTGTTTGTGTGACAAGATGCACACAAGTTTAAACAAGTACATCCTCTGGAGAACCATTTGAAACCTTTTACAACAAACCTCCCAATCTGCTTATTCAATCCCTTTTTTCATACATAATAAACATAAATCTTTCTTGTTTCCACAGGTTTTGATATTTTACGCAATACAAACCCAGTCTCCAATTCTTAACTGATGTTAATAGCATTTAAGTGAATGACAACAATCTGCTTATTCAATCCCTTTTTTCATACATAATAAACATAAATCTTTCTTGTTTCCACAGGTTTTGATATTTTACGCAATATAAACCCAGTCTCCAATTCTTAACTGATGTTAATAGCATTTAAGTGAATGACAATGTTTAATACGTTCTCCACAAACAAGAAAACGTCTAATAAAGAATATCTTCGGTAAAAAAGACTCAACATTGATTGACAGTCTAATTTACTCACTATGTCTTATTTGTTATTTCATGTCAGAAATGAAATATGGCACACTACCTTGCTGAGGTCTGTTTCTTCTATTACTTTCTATGGAGTTGCCATGGGGCCTAGTGTTTAATGTTCAGCTCAGCTTCATCCAGGGACGAGCACATTCCTTTGCACTAAAACCTCCAGAGGGAGAAGGAATACCCATTTGCCCTTTGAATTTTGATACCTCAATGCTTCAGATGTCCAGTAAACAAAAATGAGTGAAAGTGGAATTTTTACATTCCATTTGATATCAATCCCATTGTGTGCTAATTTAGTGTGAGCTCTCCTTTGAAGCTCCATGCATTTCTCAGTACCCTTTTCACACTTTGTCTTTTCTTTTTGAATTATTCGTTCTTTCCGTTGTTGATTCAACACTTAGGTGTCAACAGAATCATTTTTAAAGGGTTAGTTCACCCAAAAATGAAAATGTCAGAAGAGGTTTATTGAATAACAGGATCATGACGGTATCATGACGCGAGCGTGTGGCGGCGCTGACCCGGATCCGGCGTGATGACGTCATTACACCGGATCTGAGTCAGCGCCGGCGCCGCCACACGCCCGCGTCATGATACTGTCGTGAACGCGCTTCCACTAGAGGTCTGCTACCCGACCTGAGCCCGACGGGTCCCAAAATACTTTCGGGTTTCGGGTCGGGTTCGGGTTAATGTTTAATGAATAGCTTCGGGTTCGGGTCGGGCTCGGGCTCGGGTTTATAGCTAAACTAAAACTATATGCAGTAGCCTAAGCTACGCTGCTTTCATAGACACACGCACACACACTCTCTTTCTCTTTCTCTCTCGCTAATTCAAATAAATGATATAATTAATTAATTCAAATAAATGCGATCTTACCGCACTGCATCTCTGTGTCTGATTTAAAGCAGGCTGAATGCTAACGAGCCTTAACTGACGAAAATGAATTAAGAATTATCGTCTTGTCGTATACAATCATTCAAAAACTCGGCAGAATTTATGTGACCGAGGCACCTGATGTGCGAGAGAGAGAGAGAGAGGTGTGTGTGTGTGTGCGTGCGCGTGCGAGCGAGAGAGAAAGAGCGAGCGAGAGAGAGAGAGCGGGGTGTGTGTGTGTGTGTCTGTGTGTGTGTGCGTGCGCGCGCGAGCGAGAGCGAGAGAGAGAGAGAGAGAGAGAGAAAGAGAGCGGTGTGTGTATTCTGTTACACCAAATACACAAAATAATGATCTTTAAAAAAGCATCATATGACCCCTTTAAATTGTGTTCCGAAGATGAACGAAGGTCTTACGGGTTTGGAACAACACAATCATTTTTGGGTGAACTAACCCTTTAATGGATTGAAAAATGCCCACGCAGCAGCCTGTATCACTGGAGCTTTCCATATCAAGCCACGGGAATGGAAAATGGGTTACCTTAAGGGGAAACAACTGAGTGTGTTTTTCCACTCTCCTTGGGGTACCAGTGGTCTCCTTACTGTCTGGCATTACTTCCTGCTTCCAAGATCAGGTTAACTGAAGCCAGAAAACAATTTAGCAAGAATACAATGTTGACCCTAGAACAATATTTAAAAAGAAAACGTCCAACATGGATATGAAAACACTGGGTATCTGAAAGGACAGATGTAACAGATGGCTTTGTATAAAACAGCAAATTCTCATGGTTACCCCATGAGTTGCATGGAATCCCTGTTATAAACAGCCCGAGAGCATCTTTCCGGTCCAGCTGATGAATCGGCTTTGATGAGGTCAGATGTGCGCAAATCTGCTGAAATAATTCAAAATGTACTTTGTTTAGTGCCCCAATGTCCTCCATCAAGAGTTATTTTATTTTTGGACATTCTTGGACAGCATCATCCCACGTTGTCTATGTTTATGCCAGTGTCAGAGAAAAATGGTCTTTAATCTCGTTTATTATAGTCCTTCATACTTCAAGTGACATAAAATTTCCAGAGTAATGGACATGCCATTATTATTGCTCACTTTTGTTTAGAGCGGCTGTCTCACACTGAAAAAAAGTTAAAAGAACGTGCATTTTAATATCTTTTAATATATGTTGGTCCAATCGAAAATTTAAAAAGAAATCACAATAAACATTAAGGTCTTCTGAAGGTGTATTTATTTAAATTAAACAAAAAATGTACTTAAAGGAATAGCTATTTCACCCAAAAATGCAACAGTTTGAAATTAAAAACGTCTTGATGGAATTGTTTATTAAAAACATGCAACTTTTTT